AGCCATTTTCTAGATTTCTGGAGAAAACACAGAATGAAAACAATTCCTTACTTGACACCTTATGTGTCAACCCTGCAATATGACTGCTGCATAATACATTTTTGGTAGCAATATCACTAATATGAAAAGAAAGATGTGAAGGATTTCAGGGTGAAGAGGAAAGATATTTTGTTAATATCCATGGAATAGTGTGGAAGTGAAAGAAAACTCTAAGTTTTATTGCCAAAAGTAGAACAGAAATGCTGCACCCACAGCGATGTGACTTCAAAGAATGCCTCTTGAGAGGTGATTATTCAACTTAGTATTCTGAGCAATCTCTGGCTTGCTTATTCAATTTATTAAATAACATAGATGTTTCAGAAGGAGAAAAAGAGTCTGACACCTCTTCGGAAGCATGACTAATGGGCCATTATGATACCAGCTAGAGAGTAGTCGCTTGCAGCCTGTAACAACTGACTGACACTACCACTGTGCATTTCCTAGGGTTTCCATTAATTACATACAATTTAAGTCTCCAATGAACTTCAATTAAACCAAAGGAGGGCATCGGAAGGAAAAGTTGGTGAAGAATGGCTTGCAAAAAATGACACAGACTGAGTGCAGAGTGTTTCATGGTCAGGGTTTACTACTTCCTCCTGGACTCTGACAGATTTATCAGAGTTTCTTGGCAGACATGCAAGCCTTTAAAATCCTTTTTATATCAGCATGCCCAACCAAAGTAGCAGAAAGTAACAAAAAAAGTCTCGAATCCATAATTAAATTAAAAGGGTAACAGGATGCTCACTCCATATAATTATTACATATCAATAATTTCATGTAATTATTAACACCTGACCTTTTGTAAATCTTTCTGACTTAATTTTAACTTCCAGAGGGTAGGGGCTATGTCACATCATTGTTCTTAGCCTGCAGACTAATACAGAACCTGGCACATGGAGCTGTTTAAGGAATATTTCCTAAATAAATAAACAGATGGATTTGAGGTTCTAAAGAATGATGGATGAAACAACCCATGTCTGCTTCCACCAAACCAGTTACGAAAAACAAAATAACAAATTATCCTTCTGTATAATTAAGTTTGAAAAGTTCAACTTTTCTTCTATAAAAAGAAACAGACAAGCACATACAACAAAAACACTGGCTTTGACGTCAGAAAATATGGACTCTAGGCCAGCATCGTTTCAAATAAGGAAAAAGTTGAAAATGACATATATTACTACATGTATTCATATCCAGAGACTTAATATGCATATAACATTTCCCATCACATCTACAAGTGTAGATACTATGTTTGGCAATATATTGAACTATGGAAATGTTCAATAATTTTGTTCTGTTTTCAAATTCACCATTAATGAGGTTAAGTTCAATAAGCAGTTCGTTGAGGCTATGAGATTATAATGATATGATATGATATGATATGATATGAGATTTTATGATATGATATGATATGATATGAGATTTTTAGAATATCTAGTGATTGTCAACTGTGTTTCAACTGGATTAACTATATAAGATGTTTATTTTTATTAAATAATGGGGCATTTTGCAATAACATGTCTAAACACTGCTTTTCATACAATATGAAAACTGCCAAAACAGTTGGTTGGCACCACCGTGTGAAATCTATATATCAATGTAGAAATATTCAAATTACCCAAAAGAGTTAATGTTTTGAAGTTAAGCTTTCTTTAACCACGAAGATCCCACTGAGATACAGACTATGGAATATCACTTTAGAATTCTCCAACTTCAGCCTAAGAACATTTTCTTCAGGGTAGAGAAAATCTGAACCAGAGATCACTGGACATGCTTTTGGCATAAAAAAAAGCAGTAATAAGAAAGTCTTACTGCTTCTAGATTAGTACTGGTATTATTGCAAGCAAAAAGATAAACTAACAGTCCAAAAATAAGTGGAAAAAAAATCAAAGTGTGAAAAGCTGAAGGGAATCACCCAGCAGCTACTGAATGGAACCAATGATGTGAATTTAAAAATTCTTAGGCTTCAGTCTCAGATCTTGAGCATGACAGCAGGTCTGAAAAGATCATAGATACTTCTCAGAATTGAAACGGACAGAACTAAGACATTACAAGGGCTTTTCACAATCTATTTACAATATTAGCCTTTTTGTATTTAATGTAATCTTAGTGTTCTTTTTCTCTTCCCTTTACATTATATAGCATATTGTCTATGAGTATTTACTGAGTAACTATCTGTTGTAGGAAGGTAGTATGCTATAAAAGAGAGGGGTTCTAAAATAAGTAAAGCAATCCACATTCTAGAGGAGAAGGAGGTAAATGTGTAAATGTTTACAACATGAATAAAATGAGGTAAGAGTTTGCAAGAACATACACAAAAAGTATCAGAAGACTATCCATGTTGAACTTACATGCAAATTAAAAAATGCTAAAATAATATACCTTTGAACATTTTATTAATCTTTATGCAAAATCCTATGATCAGAGTAGGATAACATTGTTCACTAATGACATGAGTGTAATCTAACTGGATTATTATTTCAGCCTTCTGATTACTTCTGAATTTGTCATTTTTGTTACTACTTTATTAGTAAACTGCTATTTTATTACTACTTTCTCATATAGCTTCTTCTAAAATTTTACTCAGACTGTGTTCAGTGCTCGACAATTTATGTACTTCCTCAATTTCTAAAAGTAAAAGAGAGAAGTACATCAAAGTAAAAAAAAAGCAAATGTTAACAATTTATGAATATGGCTGGACATAACTTCATATAAGGCTATTAAACCAATATGAAAAATCATGAAGTGAATCAAGGAATTGGTTAACTACTAGCAAGAGGAATTGAACCATCTGGAGAATGCTCAGCAATATATATAGAAAAGCTGTGGAGATATAAAATGTGAAGGATTAATTAAAGCCATGACAACTGGAAATATGCCTGTGTCTTTTGCACATAACATACCTTTGCAAATTGTTCACAAACTTACTAAATGAAATATTAATTATTGGACCTCAAATTTAAAAAAATAAATTTATTTCAGGACATTAAAGAAAGTAAAATAAATAAACTCTTTTTGCTTGTTTTATATTCAGTCAGACTCTTTTGCTCACTCTGGGCCACAAGATAAAGTTATTTTGAAATATGCTTTATTCAGTAATCTTTACTAATCAAAGGTTTCTGTCAAATAACAGGAGATTCTGACTTAACACATATAACTTCCAAATACTAGGTAAGTATCAAGTTAAAGATGCCCATTTCTGCAGTATTTATGTTTCTGTATGCACCAGGGACTTGGCCCTAAGAGAAGAGGCTGAAATACACAAGCCATGCAAGGAGATAAGAGTACTGGGAATTTGTACCAGCCACAGATTCTGGTTTCTTTAGGGAGAAATGCAAAGCTTTTAGTTTCTCTGTACCTGTGAGAACCATACTACTACACTGAAGGCACAGGTCAGTCTAAAGGGGTGAGAAACACAATGGCCTCATTTACCCTGAAATGCTGACCCAGGGAAAGCAAATCATTCTCAAGTAGCCCCTTCCCAGTCCAGCACTGAGTCAATAACATGCCCATAACACTTTCTACTGATACACTTGAAATACAAGTGCAAACATAACTAAATTTATTGAACTTTATTTACCAGAATGACTACATTCATTGAAAGTCACTTATACAGAGGCATTGCTAAATCTGCAGAACTCTTATTATTGTCAACGTAACTTAAATCAAATCCCTATATGTTGAGAATGAGTTTGCTGGTGCCATACTGAGCATCCCTCTGCCTCCAGCTTCCTGTATTACACAAAATTCAGCATCATGAAAGGATAAAGGAAAATCAGGAAACCCTAAAGTAAAATATAAACCAAATGAATATTGAAAGAGGGAAATGGAGGGATGTTGAACAATTTTTCCTGAGGTAGCAAAGACGTCTAGGAGTTCAGAAATAGCTTTTGTAATGTGGATTAACTGTAATTCTTTTCCTAGTTCTTCCTCTTTTTCTTCACCCATTTCTTAAATCTCTCCAAAGGAAAAAGGAGGTCCTTTATATAGGATTACAAAAATGGTATTTCACTACCAAGTAATGAGCTCAACAGATGTCAGGATGCATCTGCTCTGCACCCCCTTCTTGGCCCTCTAGGGCCATCATCATTCCACAGGCAAAGCAGAGTTTTGTGCAGGACCAGCTGAAGGACTTTGAGGGTCAGGAATGGGAAGTGATGGCAGTTATACCACCAGTAGCAAACTTTTCTAAAAGGCTTGAAAATTTAATTAGTTACTTTCTAACCCTATCAACATTACTGACTTCAATACTGGCTGTCTAAAATAGCAGTTAAAAATGGCTTGATCAAAACATTCTATGAATCCTCCAAATACTTAAAACAGGTAATCTGTCCAAAGGTCCATTTTAAAATGCCCAACCTCTGCCACAGTTAAAGAAATACAAAAAAGCCCATCAATCTATATTTATTCAGTGTCTGCCTACAGGGGGAAAGGCACTTTGTTCTAACAGTCTGCTTCTGTACACTAGAAAATTTAATGCCTGTTTTTGTGGGAACTAGATGTATTTGAGCAGTTCTTCCTGTCTGATTCTCCTATTTTAGCCTTACACAGTAACTGTAGACATATGTGAAACAAGCCATACCTCCTCAGGAAAACAGGGATGGTTGAAATAACAGCATAAGATTTACTACTAGGGTTTACATTGCTACAGAATCTGACCTATAAATTGTATAAATACAGTTAGTGGTAAGATTGATAAGTAACATTCTAAAATAGTGTTACAGAACTATTTATGACTGATAACATAACATTATACGTGTAAAAGAAACAAAATATAGAACAGCAAAAAAAGATCAAATTATACAAACAAAACTCAAACACATGATTTTTTAAAACAAACATTCTAATAAATCACTTTTTCATTACTTCCTGAATCATTAAGATGGTGAAGACCGAAAATAGAAATATTAATAGGGAATATAAGGAAGGTATCAATGTCGCTAATTAAGCCTTGATTGTACCTGCCAGGCTGTAAGGCACGAGGTGCACATCAAATGCCCACAAGGTTCAATCTTGACATCTTTGTCGTTTTCAGCACAAATTTTACAGAGCTGAAAAGTGGAGCCCATTTCACAATATAATTCATATTGTTCCTGGAGTTTGCAGAAGAGAAAAGTCAATGTTAATGTATTTCTTGCACGAACTGTTAATACTGAATATTCTCAAATTTACTGACTTACAGTAAATGCCTCACACTTGATGCTATCAGGATTATTTACCATTTAAGACACATTTGAATTTAATAATCAGAATTTGGTCTACAGACCAATTTGCAGTTACAAAAAAATTTAAGTAAGCTAAAATCATAGATGCAGAACTCAATGCAACCTAAGGGGTATGCTATTCAAATACTTATGAGAAACTTAAGAAAATGCTACCCCTCCTGAATATATATTTTTAACTGTGGCTTTCTAAAGAATTGTCTCTTTTGAGTGTCCTCCTGCATATATAAAAAACACAGAATCACTAAATAATTCAAAAAATGGCAATCATATATTAAATTTTTAGAAATGTCCACAAACTGTACATATGACAAGAGTGTTTCATATAATAATACCACTGAGACTGAAATCTGGAGAATTAGAAAGAAAATGAAAAATTATCTCGTCTTCCCCAAAACCTATTAATGTCTAGGTTTAGTTATTTATTATTTATTATAGGAAGCACAAAAATGTCTAAGTTATAAAATATCTTATAACTAGATAATATGTCAAATAAAATATTCAAGTTCTCCCTTTCAGTCTCTCCCTGATTTCCCAAAACTTTTCACTTCATCCATTAAACACTGTTATTAGTTTGGTGTATTTTTTTAAGTATATTCACATGTTCATATATGGTAATTTCTTATTAATTTACAGAAACTGAACTTCTATAATGGAACTTCACAAAATGAAATGTTATGTAATTGAGCTTTATATAAATAGAACTTTTTTTAGGTAATAAGATGTAGACACTCCCATTTGAGTATATAGGACTCCCCTTCCTCCTGTTAATGACTTTACAGCGGAAAGCAGTATGAGTACACTATGGTTTAATTAACCAATGATTGAATGTTTTGGTATTTGGTAATTTTTAATTTTTCTGAAAAATGCTGATCAGAGCACCCTAGCGTACAGACCTCTATGTGTATATGCCAGTGACACATATGAAATGTAGAGTAAAAGATGTTTTTATTTATATTTTCATAATTAATGGAAACCCCCTCAAGAAAGGCTTTATACCAAGTTACACTTCAATTCATAATCTACAGGGTTGCCAACAATGATTTTTAAGTATATAATTATTACCTTCAATAGGCTTTAATTACTCATTTGACTCTAAAGCTAATCCATATAATTATTCTAATCTTCTAGAATTTTCTAAACCTAAGGCTCTCTCCTCGTATCTATGATCTATGTACATATGGATTTATCTATTTGTGCACATATATGCCATTATGCTATTGGAAGCAAGAATGTTAGTAGCAGAAATTTTTTATTTAAAAATATAATGTAATTGATTTTCAAACACACTTAGAATTCCTCAAGTACCTTTTGCATTAAATACTTATAGTACAAATAGAGAAACTTATTTAAAAGCATTACATTTATTTATTATAAATACTTTTCCAGAAATTTTCCTTACCTGTGTAACTTTGATATGATCATGGGGTGTAGGTTCACATAAACCAGTTAAATCGGGATTATAACTCCTTCCATCAGGATAAAGATAGCTGGATTATAAACAGAAATTTTATTGTTACAAATATACAAGTTTTAACTGCATTTAGAGCTATTTAAGTAGGTTCTTCTACATGCTAGCACACATTTTGATGTTTCCTTTTTATTTAACTTATATTAAGAACCTATTTGTTCATTGTTTCCATATTATGAATTATTTTTAGAACATTTAAAATATAGAAATCATTTTAAGAAATGAAGAATATGGACTCAGACACTAAGCAACCATTTTCAATTACATACACTTATTACATATCCTTTAGGTAAATTAAAATTTTTATTTTACCACTTATGTTCTATTCCAAAACATTTCCAAAATACTGTGATTATACACATATTTTCATTTACTACACCTGTCATCTGCAGCATGGTTAATGTTAACAGTATCATTTTATGTCATGCTTAACATCACAAGGAGAGAAAAATGGAATTAAAGCCCGCAGTTTTCCCACAAAGTTATGGAAACACTTCTGTGGTGTTCCTGTTTTATCTAGTTTCCCATCCTCTTTCTTTCAGTCTCACCTTCCACTCACTTCAAAACACACACACACACACACACACACACACACACACACACACACACACACACAGTCTTAATAAAATTAGAAAAAATGTTACAATTCTATATTTCAGTTACTTTAAATCAAGCTATAAACACAGAATGGTTTATAAGCTTGAGGTTCCATTATTAGAGATAACTGAAATAAGAACTAAAAGTAGAGTAATAATGACATCTTGCTGTACTGAAACAGTTTTTACTCATTCATAAATCTACTAAAAAATGAAGTTTACTGTATTGGTAAATACCTGTTTTAGACTAAAAAGGTAGTATTACTGCTGGATCTCATCAATTTATTAAGTTGTAGTTAATTTGTTTAATATCTTCCTAGTCTAGATAGCTGGAATGAGTAATTTGGACCATAATACTACAGTGAATATTTTAAAGAGCAAAACTAAACTATACTAAAACTATTCTGTGAAGTAACAAAAACTATTTACCCTTAAATAAAGAGTTGATAAATATGTTAGTAACTGTTCAAATTTGCCCAGGGAAAGCAGAAAAAAATGAACTTAGGGGAGAGGTAATTCTCACCTGGTCAGGAAGAGATCAGTGAGAGAACTTTTTTATATGATATAGAAAAAGGAGTTAACTACATCTGAATATGATATAAATTAGTGTCTTTATGAGAGTGGTTAAAATTCTACAAACATTAAATGAGAAGTGATAAGCAAAAGTTGGTAAGTAATTTTCTTTTTATACCCTAAAATGGCCAGTTTTTAAAATTACTACATAACATATTGTTTATCACACTTCAAAAACATATAGAAATTCTAAGGAGAATTCAGAAAGGAAAAATTATAAAAATTAAAATAAGGCTATTAGAGGAAAACTTTAAAGGTTCTGTTTAATGTATAAGGGGCAGTTTCATAATTATTGTACTTAGGAAACTAGGGTGCTACTGATGAGCACTTTTTAATGGCAATGAAAGAATAATGAATCTTGGCTGGTTGTCAAAGTAAACATCACTTGCATCAGAGAGCATTAGATCCACTGTAAGGAAGGGACCTAGCCACCCCTCATAATAGCTGGACCAGACATCTTATGCTTTTATTGATCTTAGGAGAAAAACTTAAAAAAAAACCTATCAAAAATTGAAATTTTAACATGATCTATTTTAATGTAAGCTATCAAAGTTTACTCTGTGTGTATAAATATTAATAAGCAATTTGCATAGAAGTTCAAAGGCTAGACTACTGATTACAGTATTATGATTTCTTGTTTTGATTGACTTTAGAAAAATAGCTGCAGAACACTGTAACAATTTAAATAAGATGTCAAAATTACTCCATTTAGAGATTACCTGCTTGTAATCTCTATTTATAATTTAAAACTTGAAAGCACATTTTCTTAAAAACAAAAATCCTATAATCATAGTGAATCAAAAGCTACACATCTGAATCTTTGATGAAAGATATAAATAGCAGAATAGCATATTTATGATAATTCTTAAAAAGATAAAATACACACTTGGTATCAGTTTGCCATACAATTCTTATGTAACTATTTCTTGAAAGTTCACAACTTTTTAAAAAAGCATTCTTTTTCTTCACACAGTTCCCATCACATTTTCTTTTCTTTCCTTTTTTTTTGCAATTACTTTGGAAAAGGTAAAACTTAAATTGTTTGCTCTTTGCTAACTCTGGTGGACTTCTTCCTGCTAGTTTCCATCACAAGCCATGCTATACTAGGTGAAGGACATATGTCTCTAAGTTACTCATTAAGGCAAGGGGTAAGAAAGCAGGATGAAGTGGCACGGAAAATACAAGTATGAAGGGAATGGCACTGACTAAAATGAATGAGAGATTATATTTACTAAGAAGGGATCTGTCACATTGTTTAAACTCTGAGTGTGGAGAAAAAAAGGCATTGTTAATCTAAAAAAAACCAAAAGAGAACTAATCTTTAAATGTAAAAAAAGAGTTTAAGATATACTACATTTGACTATTAACATGTAATTCTAGAATATGGATTTATTATTAATGTGAATAAAAGAAGGAAGGCATGAAGAGAAAACAAAGGGAAGGGCTGAGAAAAGGATAAGAAGAAGAAAAAGATAATCTGGCACTACTTGTCAAAATGAAAAGGAAAACTAGCAATTTGAGGGGCCTCTGAAGCAACAGAAGTCAATTATTTTAAAGAATTATCTTTTAATACATACACACTTTTACATCTGTTTTTAAACTACTTTTAAGACCTAACTTCTTTTCCTATGAAAGATACAAACTCATGTTGCAATTTGATGTTGGGATTTATTTGCTATAATAATTAGTTGAATACAAATAATTGGGTTACCTTAGCCTCTTATTTTAAGAGAAGAATAAAACATCCAGAGCATCCATTTGTTCTGAAATAAAAAATTAACAGCCAAGTCATCAGCCTCACTATCCATTCTCTCCATCATGAAGCAATCTCTCTCTCTCTCTTTTAAATCTGTGACTAATAAGGACTCTGACTCCCATTTCTCATACTCACAATCCTTCCCTGCTCCCGTCAATCAGGGCTTGAAATAAGGGCTTATTATGTGGGATGGTCTGTAAGATATTGCCATCCCCTGTCACATAGCCAATGGCCCACTGTCCCAATCTAGTGCAGCTTAACCGGAAAATGTAGCTGGAAAACAGGAGAAAAGTATGTTTTATTACATTCAAACTGTAAGTGACCTACTAAACAATTTGTCAGATTTTTTAAAAGTAAAAGAATAAATAGAATCATTTAGAATTTCTGATACAAATTTCTGTCTTCTAACTTATTTTAACATCACTGTCCTTTCCCATGTATTGATCTGTAAAAGAGGCACTGGCAAGGCACTACAGCACGGGGAAGACAAGCAGCGACTCTACAGCATATCACCACGCTGATGGACAGAGACTGCGATGGGGTGGGGGGTGTGGCTTGATCATATGGGTAAATGTAGTAACCACAATGTTGATCATGTGAAACCTTCATAAGATTGTATATCAATGATACCTCAATAAAAAAATAAAAGAAAAAAAGAGGAGGCACTGACAGCAAGTTAATTTAAGCATCTCCAGTCATGAGAGAAAGTAACTGTTATAAACTATCATAGTTTACTGTCACCACCACCAAGGGAGGGTTTTCTCTGAAAGTGTTGGTGGTATGTCACAACAATGACATAAATCATTTTTGGAAAGTAGAAAGTAAATTAAAGGAGCAAAAATTTAATTTATCCACCTCAGACAGAAATTGAGCTAGTTTCTACTGTGGAATTCAATATAGTATTTTGTAATATAAAAATTATGCATTTTTATTGCTAATAAGTCGTTTTAAAAATAATACTTGTTCTTTCAAGCATTCTAGCCATTCATATTTAAATAAAATAACTGAACTATGTTACTGAGAAGGCAAACTAGATAACTTCATGGCTGCCAGCTAACCCTGTTAAGTTCAATGTCTTGTAACAGGAAGTTAAAATAGTTTAAAATATAAATCAAATTAATGACAATGACAGGAGATACTGACTTGATTTTAAAATTCATTGTTATTTATTTATTAGTTTAGTTATCTGTGTATCTACTTATTTCATTTTTTGATCATTCTTCTTTATTAAAGTGTATTGCATTCAATTTTGCCATCAAGACATCCATATCTGGAATTTATAATCCCTTCAGCAGATCAACTTAAATCTGTTGGTTATATTTGAATACCCTGATTGCTATCTGTATGTGGCAGAAATAAGTATTTCTTAATATACATTATTTATTGATGAACCAAGTAAAAATTACTTTACAAGAGAAATTAGCAGTCATTAGATTTAATTAACTTGCATATTTAGTACTGTGTGTGGCTTCATCTTGGAAGAAAACTGGTTTTTTTAAAGAAAGGAAAAGTTGTTATTTTTAAATAACATATTGGTTATAGAACCTTTGGAAAGAACTTTTCAAGAAAGTCTAAAATTTAAAACATATTCTCCTAGAAAGCCTTAAAATAGAATATTACTCTGTCAGTTACTGGCATCCTTAATTAGAATCAGACAAAATACTTCCTCATGGACTATGACTGTCAGTTGGATTCCAAATAAAGCAGAACCTGAGGAACTCAAATGTCCTTGAAATAGGCTCAGCTCTTTTCTTACATGAGGCCAAAGAGAGGAAACACTTCCCAAGAGAAAGGACTAGTTAAACACAGACACTCCACAAAGCAAATCAAAATCATTTGATTTGTTCACTTGGTTTTCCTAAACATATTTTAAATACCACATCACACTTTACATATAAGAATTTACCATAGACCAATCACTTCATTTTTACCTAAAACTCAGCAGAATAAATTGTTACAGAGCAAGCTGGGAAGGAAAGACAGAGTATCTTTCAGAGGTCCCTATCCTTTCCAATTGTAAGGCTTGGCTTTGCTCCCAACAATGTCATTAATTATCTCCAATGATCTTGAATATGAGAACACAAAAAAGACTCAGTTTATTATAGTTACAGAATTGGAAAAGACAGTTTCCCAAATAACTTCCTTATTAAATTTGTATCACTGCATAATTCCAACCACATCACATCTTTCAAATTATTATATTCCAGGAACAAGAAGATACTTTTATGCCAATCAAGAGAGTAAAAGCTATAGAAAAGTCTATCTAATAGAGATCCCTGAATGAAAAAAAATGACTCCTCTAAGCCACTGTCAATACACAAAACATCTGACCTGCTTGCATGGTCACAAGAATCAACTCTCCTTAATCTAAACAGAGACTTCAGCAGGAGACAAACTGTTTTCTGTGCCCATGACCTTCTTCTTATATAAACTCTTAAAAATAAAAAAGATAGAAATGTCATTATGACAAAGGAATCAACAATATCAGCTTGTACTTGAAAAGACTTTATTAAAGTATGAACACCATTTGCACCAAAAATGAAATAAAAATGGTATTAGAAGAAAAAGGTAGATTTAAAAAAACAACCAAATTTATTCCTAAAATGAAATGACCTCTATATGATGAACACTGTACTCTTGCACATTGGAGTGACATCTCCTACTAAAATATAAGTGTGTGCAGACACATCTCCACTGTCATTACTGCCATACCCTGCACGCTGCTTGCCACAGCACAAATGGCCACTATGTACTTAGATATGAACTGGGGAAAACTCATGAACCAGGAAAGAGATTTGCCATTAATAAAGTGCAATTTCATGGCCAAGGCCAGAGGGAATAAACAAACAGCCAACTTCTGTGAGTCTCATGCAATTTCACTCTCTGGAAAATAAATTCTGAAGCTATAACAAAGCAAGATGTATTATGGAAGAAGTTCTCAAGACGTGAAATTGATCTGGCTTGCAACAATGGGATTATATATGTTTATGTACTTCTATGCATTTATCATGTTTGTATGTGTATACTTGGATATACTTACATGTTTATAATAATTATACATTTATCATAGAATGAAATGAGTATCTTGAAAAATACCCTAAAATAATGAATATGAAACTAATTTGTCTTTAGCATAATATTCAAGTGTTCAAATGTACACATACAGTTTTGAGTACCATCATCAGTGTCATAGAAACAGTCATGCTGATTGATAGTCTACTACAGTTTGAAAATTGGAACTCTCAGACATAATGAATCTCTAAATTCACCAAACCGCATAGTACCATATCCTCTGTCACTTTATGAACACTAAGTTTCAGAACAAATACAATGAATCAATTTAAAGGTTCAATTAAGAAGCACCATTTGGCCTATTAGCATTTTCCTCTTCATACCCATGGGTGTTACTGATTTACTTAGGAATGCACTAGAGGACTTAATGTATATGTGTGTGCGTGTGTGTGTGTGTGTGTGTGTGTGTGTGTGTGTGTGTGTATATCTTTAGATATATGACAAAATATTATTGCTTAGAAGTCTTACCTTCCAGGTTTGGTGCTGTATTTCTGTAGTCGTGCTTTAACTTCATCATATGTGAGAAATGCCATGTAACCTGGATGTGTTACAGCTAAGAAATTCCAATTCCATAAAATAGAGCCCCAAGGCTAAAAAATATAAATAAATGAAAAGATATCATCTAGAGAATATCAGCTATCAATCACATGACAATTTATCATTTGATATACTTAACTAAAATTCTCCTGGGTATTTTTTAAGTGATTATGAGCTTAGGTAGCTTAGGTCAACCTTTATTATCTAACAGCAAATATGCAATAGCTTCTCCTCTTTTTGGAGAAATGTGATTAGGCAGAGAACAGATTTCTTAGGAATAGAATATAGAGAGCAAAAAGGAAAACCACATCATCTCTACAAATTCTATTCTAAGTACATCACTTGTGATCATTCTGAAACAAACCACATCACTCATCTACTCAAAAGTCAAAGTCTTTATGAATAGCCTAGAAGGACTGTACATAGTTGATCCCCAGTTCCCTTTCTGTCCCCCTCTGCTGTGACTCTCCCACTTTCTGTCTCCTCTCCAGGCATCCTGGCCTCTTTGCTGTTGGGCTTGAAAATAGAGGTACTCTCTCATCGCAGAGCCTTTACGTTTCCAATTCCCCTACCAGAATTCTTTCTCTAAAACAGCTGTGATTCCTCTCACTTCTTCAATGAGGACTTCTCAGACCACCCTATTAAAATGATTTGCTCTTGTCCTTACCTCCTTGTGTGTCACTAGTGTACCTGTAGGCATCTGATTTTATAGAAGAAACCATATCACAGAATTTAAATGATTTGGCAAAGGTTATACATTAACCATAGCTACATAAGAGTAAGAACATGCCTGTCTTGCTCACCAAGGGACACCAGCACTGCTACACAGTTTCACAACACACTGATCAGGCAGAAGTCATTGTTGAACAGCTCCTCTAGTTACTGACTTTTCTAAAAGGTCTTGACTCCCAGCCTAGGGTCCTTTCCATTATCATACTACTGTGTTCACATTTTTTTAATCCTTGCACTATTGTAAAATTAGAACAGGTTTATGGCTTAGAAGTGAGTTATGTAAAAATCTTTCATGCTAACATAATTTGTGTCATTCTTTAATGTGGTCATTTGTCCCTCCAGCTGCCGTGGCAAGAGAAAAAAAAGGCAGTCAGTGACTGACACTTTCGCTTCAGGGTGCAAATCAATTACCTCTGCCATATTTTTAAGGCAAAAGATACATTTATTCCAAGGAATTAGCAGTACCCTCTATCTGATGTGCCAGACTATAAACTCAAATCTTCCACATTAAAAAAAGGTATTTTATATTTCCAAGTGGAAGTTGTTTAAATAGTCATCCTTGTTATGATTATTGGTAGAAGGTTCCTGCTTTTGTTTTTCAGGTTTTTTTTTTTTGAGACTTGCTCCTCATTATTGTTAAGCAAGTTTCAAATGTACAAGGAGGAATTCTTCTAGGATTACACCCCTTGAGCTGAGGATACCAAGGGAAAGAACAATTTGGTAACAAAGTTTTTAAACCTTTTCTGACACATGAAAAATCTTCAGGGTATTTCCCCATCACACTAAAATAACTAATTGGGCAAAAAGGAACTCTAGAGAACACTATTATGAGAGGCTCTGTCTACATATTTGAAAATAGGAATATGTTTTCAATTTTCTTAAGTCATGACTAAAAATTGCATAAACAGTACTTGGCAGAATATCAGCTTATGTTTAAAAAATTGAGAAATAACTATTACAGGCATTGGGTTTTGTTTTGTTTTGTTCTTCCCCATCTACAAAGGACTAGGACGGAAAGAATATAAGATATTTGGGTCACCTCCACTGAAGTCAACACCAATTAATGGAAGAGCTATTTAAAAAAAAGAAGCTGAACTTTACGGAGAGCCAATGCATGTATCAAAATACAAGTGAAAAAAATATGAAATTGGGGTTTTGAGCCAACTGCTGCAGTATTTAGCAATCGTTCCTTAGTACATTATCCAGAGGGCCAGCTTCTAATTGCAAAAATATTTATGTAATAGAAAGAGTCTGTGTACTGTTTTCCTTGTGAATGCAACCCACAGGCAGAAACACATGGCAGTTTATGTCGTTAGGTTTCTTTTTTAAGTATTTTTGCCAGTTAATGGCTTACAGAGGGCAAAATAAAGTACTTCGGAGAATAAGAATTATTTTGCAATTTGTCTTTAGATTAAAGGAAATGTATTCACACACAACAACACAAAATTATTTGGAGATTCTTAAATGACCACAGAAATTAATTAAGTGAATTAAGGAAGCTCATCCCTTCATTCTCCCCCAAATGCTACTTTTTTCAAGCATAGCCCTTTAGTGACTTCCAACTTATGCTGAAGAGGGGCCTCAGAGGGACTGCACAGATTCTCTTAGTCCTTGCTACAGCAGGTGACTTTCCCCCTTTTCTTTTGCTCCCTGTTCCACTGATGCTTATATTCCACAGTCACTAGCTCATTCTGCCAAATCATTCACTATGCTGCCACCCCTAGTTTACTGCTCCGTTTCTCAACAACCCAGTCTTCTCTAGAAATGGGGAAAGTGGAGGAAGAGGAAGGGGACCGGTAGCCTCAGGGAGAAGGAAGAGAAGAAAAATCCCTTTATTTCCATTCCAGGACTTGAGCACCTGCCAGTCCCAGCACCTCTGAACTACCAGAAAAGGAGGAAGATAGGGTTAAAGACAGAAGTAAGAAGAAATGAGGAAAGGAGCCATCACAAGATCATTTCAAATACTCCCTGACATTTGTTCAAGTTCTGCCAGGATATCAGGATGAGGGAGGAGAGGAAGAAAGGGTAACTAGGAGCCAGCTTCCTTCCTTCCTTCTTCCATGCCTTAGGCAATTCTCCACTGCATCTCCTGGCCCCTGCCGACTCCCTCTTCAAACCCTTATGCTAGTTCTCTACATCAAACCCCAGTCCTGTGAGTGCCCCTTGCCCACTTTCAGAACCCACTCTGCTAAATGCTCCACTCCCAACAATTTAGAAGAATTGACTGCTAATTAACTATCAGTATCATGGCTGCAACTTATATGTTCCTGCAGTTACAGTGCTCACAGACATATTTTTCATGTAGAATATATAATTATAACTTTAAAAAACTATTACTCAATTGTTAAAGTTGTATAAAAATAAAAGATTAGTGAAAGTTAATTCATCTTTCTATGCAGAGAACCAATTTTACCATATATTAAGGCACATGTAGGATTCATCAAAGCATTTGAGTAATGAAACCAAAAGGGTGAAGAACTTCAGGAGTATATATGGGCTAAGGAGTATTCTTTAGCTAATTCTGTAGTTATGTGTTTTAAAAAGACTAGACATTCTTTGATCCACAGGTAAGGTGTTGGTTTTGTTATCTAAAACTTTCACAATAGCGCTACTTAAAAGGTTCATTTCCTCTCCCATCCTAAAGAGCATTAAGTAAGATACACATAGAGTATTAAGATTAGTTGGGTTGTTTTAAAAGTCAAACAGCTGGTAAGAAAATATGTACACATATAAAATAGCAGATTGAGTACATGTTTAACCAACATTAAGTTGCCTTCATACCTTTAATATATAACTCTGAGGCTTTTTAACATTTAGCATTCACACTAAAAAGTCATCCATTCTCTCCACAAAAACACACACTCTTCCTAGAGTGAACAGTTAGCTTAAATGTCTGATAGTAACCTTTGTTCTCTTACCTCACGAGGGGAAGAAGCAAAGCTCTTACTACTTAAAATGTCTTTATATCATGTTAAATAAAGCATTTGTAAATTATCAGAAATCTTTAAAGAAAGGAGAGGTTCCATTATAAAATCATCAGTCTCAGGTAACACAACCTTTTCCTAAAATGTATCTTAAAATCACTGAAAAAAATTACTTGATGACCTATATATACAAAGGGAATAACCATGAAACTGCTGTAAATTGAAACTAAGCAAAAGCACTCTCTCTGCAGGCACTTATGCTAACTTCCCACCTGGTACGCCGAGGTAGAATTATGATTTTAAAGTTGTGATAAAGTAAAATGTATTCTATAGGTATTGTTGACAAGAGTCAATTTGCTTTCTGTTAACAGGTTCTTTCCTAAATTAAAAGTTACTCCCATACAACCTTATCTTCTTGCATAAATCAGTCACCCAACCCTAGTGCCAGGCAGAGTCTTAAATCAGGAAAGCAAAATTTCTGTAACACAGGAAACCTGAAAACCATTATTACACACTAGCTTTTGTTGAACACATGTTTCAAACTGAATAAATCTTACTGTCGATTAAAATAATAAAAAAATAAATAAAAAATAAATAAATAAATAAACAAGCTTGGTTTTTGATCAATTCACCTCAATTACTATATAATTTGTTTTACTAGAATCATAAAGATTTCAAGTGGAACTCTTTCATTTTGTGACTACTTGAACTGAGTCCTACAGATGATATACAAATTAGTGGCAAAGCCAAATTCAAAACACAAATTTCAAATTTTCTGCTTTGGGGTAATTCCGTCAAGATGTACAAAAGAACAAATGACAGCATCCAGCTTTCATCATATAACGATACCTGCTTCTGAATGGCCATTCAGAAGACAATTAGAAAGAAATTAAACACAAAGAGTAAACAGGACAAGAGAGTCTCAAAGTAATATTTATGAGAGAAAAAACAGAAACAAAAATCTAAATTTTCCAAAAGAGATTTGTTAAATTAGTAACATACTATTTTGATGGAATATTAGGTGGTAACTTAAAAATGACAGTTATATATTGATAAAGTATTTACTTATTTACTGGCATAGGAAAACATTTATAACATGATTGAATGAGCAAAGTAACTTGTAAAACAGCACACACACCACAGCAATCTCCCATATGTGACATGATAAATTTGTTATTTATGTCCAGGTTTACTATTTTTCTTCTCACCTAATGAAGGTGGGAGGCAAAGGGGAGATGTCGGGATACAACCCCAGCAACTGCCCATCTGTAAAAGTTATATTTCCATCAGTTACTGGGCTCAAAGTACAAAGTGAGAAACTAATTAGGGAATTTAAAACAAAGCTCCTTTGCATGAATCTTCTCATAGCTAAGAAGCAACTGTGGGTTCACAGTACCAGATATGCCAAACTTAAACTCTCAACTTCCAACAGTGACCAAAAAATGTATACCAGTGACTTGCTTTAAAATTCTGACTACCAAAATGAGACTACTTCCCATATGTCTGTGTGTGTTGAGTGCACGTGTATGTGAGACACACACAGGTATGCATACAATTGCACATGTGGGCACCACATGCACATGAGGGAGGGAGGGCATGAGAGAGGGAAGGACCAAACAAATAGAAAGCTTACCTGAAATAGCCTGGTAAAAATATCAAATTCAAAAACTGAAATGTAATCATTACAAGTTAAATCAATTGTTGATTTCAGAGCCATTGCTTCCAGGCCAGAGCTAATCTGATGGACCTCATGAAGGCACTGCCTGAATACTTTCCATGGTACAATAGTTCTGTGCAAGGAAAAAAGGGAGTAATTGAATCAAGTATCATTTAAGACATACCTTCCATTGAAAGAGCACAATTCAATCATGACATTAATATAATTGCATTTGTACTAAAAGAAAAATAGTTGAGAATATTGTTCGTAATTCAGAACACATGTAATGATGGGCTTTGCTAACTGGATTATTTTCCACTTGCTAAAATGTGACAAAAATCTAAATCAATTTTTCTCTCAAATGGTCCTTGGCTTTGAAGATATTTCTAAAAATACATCTGAAAGAGGTGTTAACTCAAAGTTCTGTGACCTCTTCATTTGTGTATTAAAAGATTATTTAACTTTGAATCAAGTTAAATTCTCCCCTTCTATTTTCTTAAAATAATTACAAGATTATGGGTTCATACAATACTAAGAATTCTTTGTTCATGGCACAAAGAATAATTAATAACCACCATTTCAAGAAAGCTCAGGTGGAAAGTCATCAAGACATTTTGGCCACTACCCACATGTGTTCTGCAGAGATGAAAACCACATGTTATCTAACATTTCATATTAATGCAAAGGGAAATTTTAATATTTTTAACCAACCACACTGGCTCGCATACAGACATGTATTTATTTATGCAACACTTACTAATTTATTACTAAATCAAAATTTTCATTAGGTAATGCATTTACATAGTTCAAAAATACAAAAGAACATAAAATGACATGCAGAGAAAAGTCTCCCAACCTGTCCTCTACCTGACCAATTTTTGACAATCACCCACCTCCTCCCCATGAAATAAGTATAGTCATTATTTATTCCTTAGTTTTCTTTCCGTTGGAATGTTTAATGCCTATTCCTGAATAGATGTAAGAAAGAAATCATGCACATTTTAAAATTCTAAGCTGTAGTTTTCACTTAGGACAGCATTAAGAGCTATACACAACTTCTTATAAGACTGCAACTATTTAAATCTCAGATTTTTCTTTACCATATCACTTAAGAAATAAAAGGCTCAGGCAGAATGGACTAAATTGGCCCCTTACTATACCATTCTCCCAGTGAAGCATCACCATAAATGGGCAACTTTCATATTCATTAATTATCTGTTGCAGTAGTTGTCAACCTTTAGCATGCACCAGAATCACTGAAGGAGTTGGTAACACACAATGTGCTGGTCACCTACACCTGTTACTTCAGTGTGACTGGGGTGGGCCTGAGAACTTAGGAGGTCTAACAAGTTCCCAGTGATGCTGATGCAGCTGGTCTGGGGACAACACTTTGAAAGTCACTGATCTATTGTATCTATTAACTTTAAAGCAAGTCACTGTGGAGGAATATAATTATGGAAATACAAGATACCATCTCTTGAAGAACACACTTATAAGGCAGAAGTAAGATTTGTAATGCCAAAGAATATAGAGGCAGAATGTTTAAGGAAGTGCTGGAGGAACTTCAGAAAAGGAGAATAAGATTAATAAATTAATGGTGAGACAGGCTTACAATACTATGCTGTATTTATAGGAAAGTTTAGGTTTGATATACCACTAAAAGAGCAAAACTATGAGGCTGAGTACATCAAAAAGCTTCTATGTATGAAAAAAACAGGAAACCACAGAGAACTGAAGGGAACCACCACATCAGACGCCATTTAGAAGAAACACACGTCAGGTCTGATTAAGGTTAACAAAATGCTGCATTTTTAAAAGAACAGGGAAAACTTCTGATGATGCTAGAAGGCTACTGATTTATGGTGAAGTGTAAATATGCAATTATATCCAGCTTCATTACAGTGACTGAGGAAGCAGTGCTTAAAAAACACATTTTCTTTTTCAAATTAAAGTCTCAAATATTCTACTCACAGAAATATTACAAACCATAATACTTAAGTAAGAAAATTTAAACAAAAAACTACTTGTTTAAGAAAGGTATGTTTTATCTTTTGTATGGAAATGTTAAAAAAATTTGTCTTATGTGTAAAGCATAAAAAGTAAATAAATTGGCCAAGCAGAAATCATTATCTATTACCATAAAAATTATCCTTTTACCAATATTTATTAAGGTACATGCAGATCATAACTCCTTTGAATACCTAATAATGATTTAATTATAAAAATAATGCTTTTTATGAATTAGAGCAAATTATTCAAAACTCTACAAACTTCTAAAATTGCAGTGTAATATGCCACTTTGGAACAACAATTTACAAAAGGCCAAACTACATTTCCATAGTACTTATACAAATAAGACTTTTTCACAGTTCACTTGTGATAAACCTAAGGTCAAAACAAGCAGTGACTGGAACCCTTAATTAAAGGTAGCAACAAGGATTAAGAAGAAAGGGCACCATTTGGTTAACTTATTATATACAAAATTTGTACATTGATACCTTCCTTTGATCAGCTGAGCCAAATGCCCACCATGGGGAGAAGATGAGAGAATCATGGGGAGGAGGAGGTTTCATGAGTGAAGAACAGAAATAAAAGGCAATGACTTCAAAAAAAACAAACAAAAAAACTTACAAAACTACTGCATTAAGGCGCTAACCTTTCCAAAGAGGATTTGGAGTTGCTATTACATTCTTTTTTGAGGTATGTGGGGGTAAGGGGAAAAAGGAGAGGATGACTTTTCACACCTTTAATTAAATTGTAGCAACAAAACAGAATGGTGGTTTCTATTACTTCTTCCACTAGAAAGCAAACAAGTGAGAGAAAATGTTAATGTCAGATTGTTTTACAAATATGCAGAAACTTCAGAGTGCTGTCAGAGACCTTGGGAAAAGAAAGAAGATGAAAAAGAAAAGGGCATTAAAGGGGCAACTAATCTCAAGCTCTTACATATCCAAAAATATTTCAACCTGTCTTTTTGTCACTTACAATCACAACTCACTTTAGTTATAAGTTGAATTAACTTTAAAATCCACTGAAAAGCACAAGTAACCATAAATGTACCTAGAATGGAATAAAGACTAATGGTTAGGCACCTGTAATAATAATTATATGATTTCAGGATCTTTATATTTCCAATAGGAAAAAAAGCTGCCATTGATGGCTTACTGTCTGCAAATCACCAAGTTAAGGACTTAATCTTTTTTCACAGTAACACTGTGAGGCAGATAATGTGTTCACCTTCATAATATAATGGAGAAACTAAGGCTTAAAGAGGTTAAGTTATTTTCCCAAGAAAAACCATGTATGTTCCAGGCATTGTACTAGGTTCAGAACAGAAATATAAATTAAGTCACAATCTAGAAAGTGTAAAGACATAAATAAATTATGTTGCATCATGTCCTAAAATTATCACAGAAAAAAATGCATGCACCATGGGAACCTCAAGGGATGCAGTACCTTAAGAACAGGAGTTGTATCTTACTCAACTCTGCTCAATACAAAGTAGGCAAGTAAAATTTGTGTAGTTAAATTGTGTCTAAGGAAGGCAAGGGAAGTGCTTCAAGGAGGAGGAGCCTAGGAATTTTATTGTGTTATCACTAGCTTATTACACAGAAATCTCTTGATGACTTAAGAAGAGTGATAGTCTGTTTGTGTAATGTCAGGAGAGATAAGAACGTGATAAATATAAGGCTATACTATAATTTTGTCTCCAGGTTTGCTTACAAAAAAAAAAAAAAGAGCAATTGTCCTTATTAAGGTCTTAAAAATAGGATGCTCTTTCAGAGAAAACAGGATTAAAATGATATAGGGGAATGAAGCTGAAAAGGTGTCAGCAGGTCAATGACTGACAAATCACTCAGTCTTCCAGGCTTGTCCCCTCTGTAAAAGTGGAAGATTGTATTAAGTAAGGGGAATGGAAGACAAAACGTTATAGATGGTTGCCAATAAAAAAAGAGGCAAAAGATTTTCATGAAACCACAATTCATAAAAGGCTATATAGTTTATTTTTAACTCATATTAAAAAAATACATATAATAAAAGTGTGAATCTCAACAAAGACTAGGGTATTTGGAACCAGGAACTTTAGTATATACTTTTGGTGTGAATGAGAATTTACATAGCATTTCTAGAAGGCAGTTTGGCAGCACATTTCAAAAGCCTACATATTTTGACCCAGAAAGCCTACATGTAAGGATGCCACCTAAGAAAATTACATCAAAGAGAAGTGCAAAGACTCACCCATAAATCTGTTCAATATAGCAAAATATTAAAAACAAATGTTCAACAGTAATAAGACATACCAGATCCATATATTAGAGTAGTATATTACAGTTAATGACTGTGCAGAAAAATATTTATTCTCATGGGAAAGTATTAAATGGGAATAGCATTTTAAAAATTGTATGTTCTTTATGATTCAATGCTAAAAACTATCTAGAATGTCTGGAGAGATCAACACAAATTTTAATTGATAATAACTGTATCAGTATATGATCATAAGTGATTACAGTTTTTCTATATTTCTAAGGGCTTCTGTCTTAATGGCTTAATGAAATAAAAGATATACTAAAATTATCTTAAAATGTGTTATGCAATCAGAGTCAATTAAAAACAAAATTATAATAGTATTTGTCTATGACATGGTGTCATACGTAGGAAATACAAAAGAATTTACAGATTAAACTATGAGCAGCAGTTAAGAGAATTCAACATGGTTGCTGAATATAAGACCACTATACAAAAATCAGTTATATTTCTACATATAAGCAGTACATAACTGTAAAGTAAAACTGAAAAATACTTTATTTTACAAAGCATTTGAAAATATAAAAAAATAAGAATAAAGGTAACAAAAGATAAGCAAAGCCACAACATAAAACACAAACACACAATCAGAGAAATAAAGACACAAATGAATATAACACTTTAATAGATTGGCAGACTCAATATTATAAAATGTCAGTTTTCCACAAATTGATACGTAGATGTAATACAACCCCCAATCAAAAGTAATCAAGCCAAGAATAATCAAGCTAATCTTCAGTAAGAACAACACTGGCAAACTTGTGTTCATTACATTAATTAAGAAAGTATGGTATTGGCACAAGGATAGACAGATGGAGCAAAACATAC